TTGAGATCATAAAGCTTATGAGTAGCAGAACCAGCACTAGAGCTCAGGTCTCCCGCTTGCCAGACCAGTGTCATTCATTTCCCCTATAGGACCATGTAGGTGAGTAACACCTTTATGTCATTCTCAAAGGCCATTTATTCACAAATAAAGCTATCAGTGTTTTGCAACAGATGGTCAAAGAACACTGAAAACAATGGGGAAAAAAAAGTATGGGAAGCAATTTGGGAATTTAATACAATTTAAAAACTAAATAATCCTGGGCTGGGATTATGGCTCAGCAGTAGCACACTTGCTTACTGCGTGCAAGGTCCTGAGTTCGATCCTCAGCACCACATAATAAATAAATAAATAAATAAATAAATAAATAAATAAATAAATAAATAAATAAATAAGATAAAGGTATTGTGTCCAACTACAACTGAAAAATAGGTATTTTTAATAAATAAATAAATAAATAGTCTAGCCATGGTGGCACATGCCTATAATTCCAGTGACTCAGGAGCTGGGGCAGGAGGATTGCAAGTTCTGGGCCAGCCTCAGCAATTTAGCAAGATCCTGTCTCAACATAGCTTAGTGGTAACTTCCACTGTGTTCAATCCCCAGGACAAAAAAAAAAGTCCATTCCTAGGATTACCAAAAGGAAATAATTCAAATAAATTAAAAGCTATATGCACAAAGTTAGTTATTATTATATTATTTATCACAGGAGAAAAGAATGAATAAAAACAAGTTAATTTTGGGCTGAGGATACAGTTCTTCTGGCAGAGTACTTGCCTAGCATGCACAAGGCTCTGGGTTCCCTCCTCAGCACCACAAAAAAAAAAAAAATCAATTTCTATTAGAAGAGAGATGCCAAGTAAATCATATTTTATCAAACTGTTGAATTGTGATACTATTAAGATAATTATGAAACTAAAATAACATGGGAAATGTTTAAAGTGACTTTAACTGGGAAATGTATTTGGAAAGGCTGAACAGGAACACAGAAATATGAAAACATTGCTATGATTTTGGAGCTTTTAAATAAATTGTCTTTAGCAATTTTTATTTAATACTTTTAGTAAGTAGCTTTTTAATAACAGACTAGTTTACAGTTCACATGAAGAAACGTGACTAAAATCATGCAAAGATATGGAAAATTTAACTTTTCACAAAGAATTGAGAGTTCCTTTAATGCCCATGTGTGATGTACTGAGTTTGTGCATTTGTCCTCACTCCATCCTTTCCACCAATGCCCCTCATGTTCTCCTGACCTCTAACCCTCTCCTCATCTCTTTCTTAAGTTGTGCCTGCTATCTTATTTGTTTCCTATCATCCACAGAATTTATCTGAGTCTGTACTTCCAGGGGTATCAAAGGCAGCAGGCATGTTAGACTGGAGGAGGGAACCAGAAGAGATATTAGCCTCCCATCCCGCCTCACTGTCTCAATGACCTGGGCCCCTGAGACCTGGCTCAAAAGGAAAAAACAGCTCACTTCCCTGTTAAGCTAGGGAATCTAAAGAACAAAGGCTGAAGCTCCCTTAACTCATCATTCCAAAGGTAGATGGCCTTGTGCAAGATAGTGGGTAACCTTGGGGAACTGTCCATGCTGCTGTGCAAGGGTGCTGGGCCCAGTTTGCATTCTACGAATCCTGTTTTAGTCTTTCCAACAGAACTCCTTTATGAGTGTAATTCAAATAACACCTGTAGATATCCCTGTTTCATCAAGATTTGTGTCAAATTCACTATCTCGGAGCAAAACATTTTTACCTTGTGACTTGGCAAAAGGACCAAGGTATAACCATATGTACCACAGAGAGAACCTCCCCCATTCTTGACTGAGAACGGAGAGGCTGTCTTCAACCCTGAGTAAAGATAACCTTAGATACCTTGATAGCCTATGCAAACAGCAGCAATGGTGAAAGAGACACAGTGGAACATGAAGGTCACCTTGGGGTATGATAATACATGCATATGGGTATCCAGAAAAGAGGTGGGAAAGGCCTTGCTGAGGTATAATATGCCTGTTGCTCTCTATGCTGCACTGTGTCTCATTTAAATTCTTATGGAACCAAAATTCTTATCACAACCTAGGTCACCTTTCGTATAATTTCTGAAGTAGGTAACTATTACATCTCTTTTGAATAAATTCTCCTGCCCTGTTTTTCCCTATTAGGCATGCTGATTCCAATTAGGACTAGGTTAATACATTGATGCTGATGGTATCTCACCCTTCCTTTAGCATCCGTAGTATCTTATTTGCAAGGCAGCTAGTTTACACATGTGTGGTGCTTTTCTGGGTACATATCAGAGGCACATGACAGCCCTGAAGAGAGCTGCTGGTCACTGTGTTCTCTATGGATGAAAGCACTCAAGCTACCGAGAGATGAAATGAACAATGAGAATAAAGCAAAGAACACTCCTGCCCCCACCTGAATCCTAGTAATGCGCTTTTTATTTTGAAACAAAATAAAAAGGAAAGAAAGAAAGAAGGGGCCAGGGTTGTAGCTCAGCAGTAAAGCGCTCGCCTAGCATGTGCGAAGCCCTGGGTTCGATCCTCAGCACCACATAAAAATAAATAAAATAAAGGTATTGTGTCCATCCACCACTAAAAACTATTTTAAAAGAAATAAAACACTTTTCAAGATTTTCCTCAGTGTTTCTAGCATCTACCAAAATTAAGCTACAGATGTTCTACTTAATTTTCTGGCTTAATTTCTCTATGAAACTTTTTGGGTTTCGAATTCACAGAACTCAAGAAGGGCCCAGAAAACTACAGAAATATCCAAGTGCTAATGGATGATTTATCCTCTAAATCTGAAAAAACAAACCCAGTTCAACTGTGTTCTGAAAGCAGACTGAAGCCCCAGCTGTCCATTTGACTAAGCAAAAGAATAAGTCAGAAAAAGTTGAGCAACAGGCTTTTCCTGGAGATGAGATACTTATGGCTACTTGCTCTAGCAACAACCAACTACTCATGATTTATTTTCGCCAAAAGTGCTGAGAAGCTTTGAAGACCAAGGGAGAGAAATTAGAATATTATTTCCCTCCCCCCCAACATAACCAACTGTAAATGGCCAAGTCAGAAGTACCTGAGTAAGCAAAAGGGGCAGCAATTCTCTCCAGAAAGCAGAAACGTCCAACAGCAATGTTTGCAGTTTCTCTTATACTGCCCCAAACTCTTTATTTATTTAAATATTTAACTACAGGGATGCCTCAAGGCATCTACACCTGTAGAAAATCTTCCAAGGGATGATTTAAATTAGCTTTCCTTGCATTAAGGAGGATGGCACCAGTTTTGGAATCCTCACCCCTTACATCAACACAAACTTTCCCCACCCTAACAGGATTTATAGAACATTTTCAAGCTCATAAGATCTAACCAGTTTGAATTCATTGCTCATATTTGATTATTTTTGACCTACAAAAAGGCAGTTTCAAATGGTTTGTCCTGATATAAACATCACCTTTGAGCAAAAGAAAAGCTAAGGAACAAAACTAAAATAGGTTAAAAATAACAAGGATTTGGCCAGGTATTGTGGTGCACACCTGCAATCCCAGCTCCTTGGTAGGCTGAGGCAGGAGGATCAGTGGCTCCTGGCCAGCCTGAGCAACTTAGTGAGACCATGTCTCCAAATAAAATAAAAAGGGCTGGAGATAGAGCCCAGTGTAGAGCTTCTTCTTGCCTATCATGTATGAGACCCTGCATTCAATTCCCAGTACCACAATAAATAAACAAGAGTTTGCATTTGTCAAATAGATAAGAAATTGAGAGATGTGGGGAGAGACATCAGGAGACAAGCAAGTGGGGCTGAAGTTGCGGCTCAGAGGTGCAGTGCTCGCTCACCTAGCACACATGAGGCCCTGGGTTCCAGCCTCAGCACCACATATAAATAAATAAAATAAAGGAAATAAAGGAATTGTGTCCACCTACAACTAAAAAAAAAAAAAAAAAGATTTAAAAAAAAAGAGGCAAACAAGTCAAATTCTGAGGAGAAGAGCAGTAGCTATGGTATAGAGAAAGGACAATTCCATGGTTGACCAGTACAGAGAAGTGACTTTGGGCATTTAACGAACCAGGAATCCTTAATTTGAGTCCTTAACATTTGTTCCTCCTTCAGCCATAGCTCATGGCTTTTTGCTGAACTATATCTTCTAGCTTTTGGTTACATTTTCTTTTAATGTTTTATTTTATATATTTTTATATGTTTCTCTTCATCATATTTCAGTCTTATTTTCCCAATGAGTAGCTTCCTGAGAACAAGTTCCCATGTCATATTTCAGCTTCTTAAGCCACACATTCAGTAAGTGCCAGTATCTATTAAATAGACTTGAAACTGATCAATGGACTCTGTTACAAGAAAGCTCACCTGGAAATGTAAACTCTAGGAGGACCAGTAATAATAAGATCCATCTTTTGGTGGTACTTCTATCTGCTCTATTCTATGCCACAATTTTTTTTAATACCTTAATTTTATTTATTTTTATGTGGTGCTAAGGATTGAACCCAGGGCCTCGCACATGCTAGGCAAGTGCTCTACCACTGAGCCACAACCCCAGCCCTATGCCACTTATTTTATACATGCATTAGTTCTAAATCTGACATCAACCTTACAAAGGATATTAGTATTATTAATCTCATGCTATATTATCAGTCTCATTCTACAGCTGGGCTGTAAGAGATTTCAGAAAGGTTAAGTGACTTGCTTCATGCCACACAGTATACATGAACTTCAAGCCCAGGTGTGCTGCCAGAGCCCACACTCTTTCCATTGGTTTTCTGCCTCGGGCAATGCCTGCCATCCTTTTATAATAATGGAAATAATACCAGAGACCTATAGAGTGTTTACTCTGTACCAGACACTGTTCTAACGCCTTTCACATATGTTAAATTCATTCAGTCCTCACAACTATTTTCTTAGGTGGTGAGCTCTATTATTAGCCATTTTACCTTGTATCATCAGTCGTTTTACAACCCTTGTAAGGACAATAAAGGTCAATGATATTTTCTTCTTATTAGGCTCATTCAAAAGTTTGGCATAACTACAACAGAAATTTCCGCCCACATCAGAAAGGCTATGTATCGATCACATTGGGATCCCATTGGATTGAGCCAAACAGGTCAGAAAACACGATGGATGTGAACATGTGCCAAGACTCCATGGTTTCTGTGCTCGGATGGTTTGCCACCCCTATTCATGGGAATGGCGACTATCCAGATACCATGAAGAAGTCGCTCTCCATTCTACCCCTTTTCTCAGAAGCAGAGAAGGAGGAGGTAAGGGGCACGGCTGACTTCTTTGCCTTTTCCTTTGGACCCAACAATTTCAAGCCCCCAAACACCATAGATAAAATGGGGCAAAATTTGTCACTCAATTTAAGAAAAGTGCTGAACTGGATTAAACTGGAATATGGTAACCCCCGAATCTTGATTACCGAGAATGGGTGGTTCACAGACAGTTATGTGAAGACAGAAGATACCACAGCCATCTACATGATGAAGAAATTCCTCAACCAGGTTCTTCAAGGTGGGTTGACATTAGCTCAAATTTTTAAAAATGTTGAATCCTTATAGGATATTTAAAGTCCTCTTTGAATGTGTAATCATTGTTGTTGTGGGTTTATTTCATATTGTACAACGTTGATAGAACTTTTAAGTATTATTCCCATGCCCTTTCTTTTTTTGGGGGGGGGTGCGGGGGTGGTGGAAATCAGGGATTGAACTCAAGGGCACTCGACCACTGAGCCACATACCAGCCCTATTTTGTATTTTATTTAGAGAAAGGGTCTCACTGAGTTGCTTAACACCTCACTTTTGCGGAGGCTGACTTTGAACTCTCGATCCTCCTGCCTCAGCCTCCTGAGTCACTCGGATTACAGGCGTGCACCACTATGCCCAGCTTTATGTCCTTTCTTAAATAAAAGTTTAAGGTCAAAATAATTTCAGACTACAGGTAGACCTTTAATTGTTAGGAATATGATGTTTTATTCTTTATAAACGATACAATGCTAAAAGAGATTAAGTTTAAAGTTCCCTATTGGGTTTTACTTTATTCTAAGATGCTTCTAGAAATTGTGATCCATTTTCTCTTTTATTATGTGACTGAATGATAAAAGGTCTGAAGACAAAACTGAGAAATTTCTATTAATCCTAGTGATTTCCTCTGACCTCAACATATCTCCTCATTCCTTTTCCATTACTGAAGCAGGACATCTTCAGGTGGACTGAAACAATGGAACCAAAGTCAAGCTCAGGTTATGATGGTTTTATTCCCTACAGAATTGGGCTCCTGGGCTGGGGATGTGGCTCAAGCGGTAGCGTGCTCGCCTGGCATGCGTGCGACCCGGGTTCGATCCTCAGCACCACATACCAACAAAGATGTTGTGTCCGCCAAGAACTAAAAATAAATATTAAAAATTCTCTCTCTCTCTCTCTCTCTCCTCTCTCACTCTCTCTTAAAAAAAAAAAAACAGAATTGGGCTCCTTTCATCCAATAGAGGAATTCTCTGTGAATCTTGCTAAAACTCTGTAGCTCTTTTTAGAAGTCATTAGTCTACAGGAAAATCCCAGCTTCTTCAGGAGAGAACCTTCAGGGAGGGTCCTCAGGGAGAGCAAGACTGCCCCAATTCTGCTGTTCCAGATTGCAAGAAGGAACAGCATGGAAGAGCTATACCCAGTCACAAGCCACATGCACAAGAGGGACCTCAGAACAGAGGATACTGCCCACAGGTCCTGGGTCAAGTTCTCCGCACTTGGGCAGAAGAGGTGTCCATTCTACCTCTTGGAATCTTTTGCCATGGATTTTCCACCTTTTAGGGAAAGAATGTCAGTGATAAACCCCCAAAATGCAAAACTGAGGCATTTCTAAAATAGAAATGAAAGCTTTTAAGGAAAATGATTCAGAGTGGGCTGGGGATGTAATTCAGTGGTAGAGCACTTGCCTAGCATGTGGGAAGCCCTGGGTTCAATCCCCAGGTACTGTCAGAATATAGAAAGAAAGAAACAAAGAGGGAGGGAGGGAGGGAAAATCAGGGTTAATATGGGAATTTTAATATGGGAATTGTTTGTGTTGCTTATGTTGCTATCCACAATTTATGTTTACCCAATTCCTGCAATTTACTAATTCACAGTTTTAAAGCTAGAAAGGCCCTTAGAGATCATCCTTTCCAATACATTCTGTTTGCAAATAAGGAAACTGAGGCCAAGAAACTTGCCCAATAGCACCCTCCCAGGAACACAGCAGGGTAAGGCCCTGGGCCCCCTGCCCTCGGGCCCAGTCAGAGCTCATTCTCTTACATCACTTTGTCTCTTTTACCTCCTTATATCTACACAGATTTATGCTACTTCTAAGAATTGACTTTTCAGTCCCTGAAGAACAGTTTCTTAGAATGGATAGTTTGTCCACAAATGGGAACAAAACCAAATTTGAAGTGAGAAAAACTCTTGGTCACTAGCAGACATCTGCATTAGTCCCAGAGGGTTGTAGAAATTATCATGCCTCCCTGTCACAGATCTCCACACTAAATATCAGTAATATTTTTCATTTGATCCTTTGTGCCATTCAGTTATGAGGGGTGATGTGAATAGGGGTACCATTCTAGATGAAAATAACTGCCATGTTTCAGGAAGAAACATGCATTTTCTATTTGATATAACTGGCCCACAAATCAAGGAAAAGGTTGGTTTCACAATACACTGTCCCCTGCCATGATAGTGAAATTGTAAATTGGAGTGTTTACCTTTCTGAATGTCTCTCCTTTTTTTTTTTCTTTGTGCAGCAATAAGGATTGATGATATTCAAGTGTTTGGTTATACTGCCTGGTCTCTCTTGGATGGTTTTGAGTGGCATGATGCTTACAACACCCGGCGAGGATTATTTTATGTGGATTTTAATAGTAAACAGAAAGAAAGAAAACCCAAGTCCTCAGCACATTACTATAAACAGATCATACAAGAAAATGGTTTTATTTTGAAAGAGTCCACGCCAGATATGCAGGGTCAGTTTCCCTGTGACTTCTCCTGGGGTATCACTGAATCTGTTCTTAAGGTAAGTGGCTACCTCCAAATCAACCATAAACTGGAGAAGATAGGACACCATGTTTTATTTCATTTACTCAATGATAGCTAGGAAGATAGGTATTAGGCAATGTCAAATACCATGGTTATTTAGAGGTAATGGAGCAGAGTTGAAGAAAGAGGAAGAAGGAGATGAGTGCTGAGACATTTTCATGGGCCAGAAGGTTTACTTGGTGAGGGAGTCCAAGCAACCAAGAGGCTGCCCTCTGGAAGTGTATAGTTCAGACAGAACTTAAGACCATTTCTCTGTGAGAAAAAACAATTTTATATATTTTTGTTTGTCCAAAAGCAAATCATTAGCAGTCCTTTATTTATGCAAATAGTAGATCTGGGTAATTTGCCTTCTGAGATCTCCATATCCCAGTGGAGCACCCCCCACATCTCATTATTCACCTCTTTCCAAGGTTTGCTCAAATGTCTCCTTCTCAATCAGACTTCCCTGCGATCAAAAACCCTAAATCCACCCTATTACATTCTCTCTTCCCTGCTCTGTATTTCTATACAGAACTCTTCACCATCTAACTTACTATGAACCTTATCCATTTTTCTTATTTATCACCTGTCTTCTCCTCTACCATGCAAGGTGCGTGAGGGCAGAGATGTTTAATTATTTGATGTCTGCTGTATGCTTTAGTAGGGCAGCACCAGGCACATGGCAAGTCCTCATCTCTTAGAATCGGGTGAGTGAATGAGATCACCTTTTAGAGCCAGGTACGGGTGTAGAGACTTTCCATTCCAAATTCTTTATTTTACAGGCCAGGAAAGTGAGACCTATCAATTTTCCCAAGGCAACACAAGTAGTGGCAGAACTATTATCAGACAGTCTGGAAGCCTTCAGATACACAATGCTCTTTCCCAAATAACTATTTTTATTTTTTTTTTAAATTATTATAGTTGTAGATGGACAGCAAGCCTTTATTTTATTTTTTTATATTTTTAGGTGGTGCTGAGGATCGAACTCAGTGCCTCACACATGCTAGGCAAGCACTCTGCCACTGAGCTACAGCCCCATCCCTAAGAACTACTTTTATTTTTTTTTTAATTTTTCCTAATAACTATTTTTAAAGCCCATACTTTTTGCCAAGCATGTAACTATTGCATGCATGCACATTCTATTTAATCTTAAAAATCTCATTTTACAGACCAGAAAGCTGAGGTTTAGGGAAGTTACATAACTTGCCCGCAGGTTACCTAGGTCTGTCTCCTGAATACTATGCTATAGAACTTCACAATAACACACAATTTCCTGTACTTTAGAAGTGTATGAAAAGACAATGAGTTGTACAGGAATGGGACCAGACAAAAGGGTCCAAACCACAAGTGACCAAAGTTCACAGATTATTGACAGGCATAGTGGCGCATACCTGTGATCCCAGGAATTTAGAAGGCTGAAACAGGAGGATAACAAATTCCAGGCCAGTCCCTCAGCAATTTAGTGAGGCCCTAAGTAACTTCGTGAGCCTCTGCTTCAAAATAGAAAATAGAAAGGGCTAGGGATGTGACTCAGTTGTTAAACAACCCTGGGTTCACTTCCTGGTGCAAAAAAATATATGTAATTTTTGATATTCACAGGCTATGAATCTCAACCCCTGTGGCTATTAAAAGTAACATAAACAATGATTCATCTTCTGCTTGTGTCCCCTCTTAAACCACCTATTTATCCAGTTCCTACTTTTTCCTTCCTATGACCATCTTTTCCCTATGACTTCAGTAGGTTGATATTTTTCACAACTCCAGACCCAGCAGGTAAAGACCTGAGGGGATATAAGAGCTACTTCTCCCTCCTGTACGGGAGATCCAACCTTCAAGTTCCTGCTTTAGCTGAAGACCCAGCAGCTTCCCAGTGATTGACACTGTGATATCTGCCCTACTCCTAGTTTTAGGAGCAAGAACTGATCCTGTGTGAGGGGAAATCATTTCTGTGGTCTGTTAGGCCTTGGTTTCATACTCACCCCTCAGAGCCCAGGAAAGTCAGCTTCTGTTCATCAACTTGGACTAAGAATGGGGATGAATGATTTGCCAAAGAAAATTATGTTGGTTTTTGAAAAATCAGCCAAAGGATGTATGACTAGATGCTATGTGGGCAGAAAATTGGATATCGTCTTCAGAAAGACTACCAAAATGAAATTAACAGTTCAAAAATATTACTATACCTAACCCCACACATTCCCATCTTATTTTCCTCTAGTCTCTAGTATCCTTTGTTCCTTCAACATTTTATTTTGAAAAATTTGAAACTTGTACAACAAAAACACATATTCTCTTCCTCAAGACTGACCAATTATTCATGTTGTCACTTTTTTTCTTTTTTTTTTTTTGGTACCAGGGATTGAACCCAGGTGCTCATCCCCAGCCTGTTTTATTTTTTAAGATAGGGTCTTGTTAAGTTGCTTAGGGCCTTACTAAGTTTCTGAGGCGGGCCTTGAACTTGTGATCCTCCTGCTTCTGCCTCCTGAGCCTCTGAGATTATAGTTGTGCACCACCATGGCCGTCTAACATTGTCACATCTACTTTATCTCAGCCCCTCTCTTCTATGAACCACGGATAAATTGCAGACATCATTATGCTCCACCCCGAAATATTTCAGTATCTCCCAAAACAAGGACATTCTCCTGTATCACTCCATCATCAAGAGGCCCAGAACATTTAACATTGATTCAATCCATCTTATATACAATCCATAGTCAAATTTTCTAAATATTCCAAAAATGTCCTTTATAGATTTAAAATTATTTTTGGATCAAGAATGCAAAGAAAGGTCACATGTCTTTCATCTTTATTATTTTATTTTATTTTTTTTAAAAGAGAGAGAGAGAATTTTTTTTAATATTTATTTTTTAGTTATCGGTGGACACACATCTTTGTTTGTATGTGCTAAGGATCTAACCTGGGCCGCACGCATCCCAGGCGAGCGCTACCGCTTGAGCCACATCCCCAGCCCACATCTTTCATCTTTAGCCTTCTTTAATTCAGAACAATTCCTTCAAAGTTGATGGTATTGGCAATTCTGACAAATTCAGACTAATTGACTATAGAATGTCTCATGCTTTGGAGTTCTCTGATTATTTCTTTATTAGATTGAACTTACCAGTTTGGGAAAAATGATAAATAGATGATATTATGCACTATCAGTGCATCCCATCAGGAGGTACCTGATGTCACTTTGTTTTATTATGGAAAATATCAATGCAGTTGAAGTAGTGTCACCAGATTTCTTGGTTAAGGTAGCACTTGTCAGATCTCTTAATTAAATGGTACCTTTATTTTTAATTAAGAAGTGATTAGATGAAGCCAGGTGCAGTGGCCCATTCTGTAATCCCAGTGGCTTGGGAGGCTGAGGCAGGAGGATTGTGAGTTCAAAGCTAGCCTCAGTAACTTAGCAAGGCCCTAAATTTCGAGACCCTGTCTTGAAATTTAAAAAAAAAAAAAATTAAGGGGACCAGGGGTTGTGGTTCAGTGGTTAAGTGCCCCTGGGTTTAATTCCTGGTACCCCATCAAAAAAAGTGATCTGATGATGATACCCAGAGAATATATGAATATCCTGTTCCTGAACAATAATTCAAACAACTGTTTTAAAATTCATTCATGAAACTTGCCTCTCATAGATAGCAAAATGGAGAAATTTGAATTAGACTGTTCCTTCTACACTTATTAGCTGGGTTCTCTGAAGTTCAACTTTTTGTAATTCATTATTATCTTTATAACATTATTTATTTTTATGCACAACTTGTCACACCGGGACCCCTTCAAGCTGCTCATATATCTTTTGACATTTACCTTCCAGTTTTTAAGCACTTCCTTGTTTTCCAGCACTAGATGCCCCAGCATCACCTCATTCTTTTTCTCTCCCAGACCTGAAAAAAAATTCTCCAAGGAGCCCAGGATCCTTTTAGTGGGGAACACAAAAATCTGGGAATTGGGGCTGGGTTAAGGGTTCATCATATTTAACTAGATTTCTTTGCAGGCTAATCAAACCCACTTGCTGCCTAAAACTAATACTTTCTGAAGAGTTTTTAAAGTAAAACCACCAGGCGAAATCTTGTACATCTGTAATCCCAGTGATTTGAGAGTCTGAGGCAGGATTTTTCAAGGTTAGCTTAGGCAATTTAGCAAGCTCTTGTCTCAAAATAAAACAATAAAAGGACTGGGAATATAGGTCAGTTGTAAAGCATCCATGGGTTCAATTCCCAGTACCACAAACAAACAAAAAAGTAACAGATATTTATTTGATCTTGCCTTGCCGCATGGCAGGATTGTCTTTGTGAATACCTTTTTAATATCATAATGTCGTCAGCTTTTCTACCCACTGAAACTGACCATATAGGCTAGAAAGATTTCACTCAAATAATTAATTATATCCAGATTAAACTTCATGCTCACATGATCAATGTTCTCTATTTTAATGTTCTAGATAACTGGTTGGCAGATGGCAAGTGGGCAGTAATATGGTTTTGTAATTATACTATGAAAGATGACACATGAGAAAACAATTAGAGGGAAAATATTTACCAAAGGCTAATTATCATTTTCCCTGGTGCATTTAAACTCAGTCATGAAAAGAAAAAGTACTTTAACATAAGTACAGAACATTTATTTGCCCTTTTTAGTCTTAAATTTAGAAATCCCTTTTTTAAGTCCTTTATTTTAGTTTAGACTCAAAGGTCTACAAGACAATTATTGCATCCAGGGAAAACTAAACCCAAGTCATGACTACCTTACATTTATACAGTGCTTTAGGGTCGACAGAGCCCTTTTGCAGAGTATCAACTCCTCACAGCACACCTGGGAGGCAGGTGAGACAGCTCCATCACTATATAATTGCCAAGCCTAAGTTTCAAAGGCACAGACTAGGACAGACTGTAATGAGACACTACCAGATCCAAGGGGCAACGTGGGGAGTTTTATGGGTATTTTATTTTATGGGTATTCTTTCCATTCATAATCCAAGTTCTTTGCATAGAGAAAAAATTCAATCATCTTCTTTTAGATAAATAAATCTGTGTTCTGACAGATTTACAGGTGGGGGACATACAGTTGTATTTTGACAGGCACGTGGGTAGGGGGAGATACACCTGAAGCAAAGATAATATCACTTGGACTTTTCAAGTAGAAAAAGTTGAGAGGTGCATTCAGCCAATGAAAGGAGTCATTGCCTACCCCCATCCTGCCGTCTCTTTTAGGAACTGGAGCTGTTGTCAACCAGTCCCCTCTAAATCCTAGTGCGGTCTGAGAACTCCTTTACACCTTTGTTTTCAATTTGTGACAGGGTTTAGAATCCATCTTTCATAATTGCTTTTAACTGAGGATAGCAAGTCAATTTCCTGATGCATTTGAAGAGAATCACAGGAGACCCCACTGTATAACCTGGATTTTTAGGTGAAATGAGCTGGAAAATGGCTTCTCAGTCTTTTCTCAATTTGTTTCCAAGCCAAACCGTGGGTATGGTTCCTTCCCTATGTTTCCTGGTTTCCCTGGAGATGCCAAGGGCTGGAAGGGAAGATAATCAATTCATCAGGCCTTTTCTCTGCATCACCAGGAGAACAGCCGGAACACAGAGGTCATTATGAAGGACATATGCATAATGTATTTTCTCTCTTGTCCTGAGAGGCCCCATAAAATCAGGCCCTTCTTCCTCTTAAAGGGTGTATTGCTGAGAGCCTCAGTTAGCCAGCATGTGCTTTATCTGAATGTGCTTCTTTTCCCACAGCCCGAGTCGATGGCTTCCTCCCCACAGTTTACTGACCCTCACCTGTACTTGTGGAATGCCACTGGCAACAGACTGTTGCACCGAGTGGAAGGAGTAAGGCTGAAAACGCGGCCCGCTCAATGCACAGATTTTGTCAGCATCAAAAAACAACTTGAGATGTTGACCAGAATGAAAGTCACCCACTACCGGTTTGCTCTGGACTGGGCCTCAGTCCTTCCCACTGGCAACCTGTCTGAGGTCAACCAACAAGTTCTGAGGTACTACAGGTGTGTGATCAGCGAGGGGCTGAAGCTCAACATCTCCCCAATGGTCACGTTGTATCACCCCACCCACGCCCATCTAGGCCTCCCCACGCCCCTATTACACAGCGGGGGCTGGCTGAACCCGTCGACAGCCACGGCCTTCCAGGACTACGCAGGGCTGTGCTTCCAGGAGCTGGGAGACTTGGTGAAGCTCTGGATCACCATCAATGAGCCTAACCGGCTGAGTGACATCTACAACCGCACTAGTAACGACACCTACAGGGCAGCCCACAATCTGCTGATCGCACATGCCCTGGTCTGGCACCTCTATGACCAGCAGTACAGGCAGTCCCAGCGTGGCGCGGTGTCGCTGTCCTTGCATTCCGACTGGGCGGAACCAGCCAACCCCTATGTCGACTCTCACTGGAAGGCGGCGGAGCGCTTCCTCCAGTTCGAGATTGCCTGGTTCGCAGATCCTCTGTTCAAGACCGGGGACTACCCCACCTCGATGAGGGAGTACATAGCCTCCAAGAATCGGCAAGGGCTCTCCAGCTCTGCGCTTCCTCACTTCACGGAGGACGAGCGCAGGCTGGTCAAGGGCGCCGCCGACTTCTATGCCTTAAACCACTTCACCACTAGATACGTGATGCACGAGCAGCAGAACGGCAGCCGCTACGACTCGGACAGGGACGTGCAGTTCCTGCAAGACATCACCTGCCTGAGCTCCCCGACTCGCCTGGCGGTGCTGCCCTGGGGAGAGCGCAAGCTGCTCAGGTGGATCCGGAAGAACTACGGAGACGTAGATATCTACATCACTGCCAATGGCATCGACGACCAGTCTTTGGAAAATGATCAACTCCGAAAGTACTACTTGGAGAAGTACGTTCAGGAGGCTCTGAAAGGTGAGGTTCGGGCCAGCTTAGATACAGTAAGGTGTGAGGTTCATGTTAACTGACAGGAACAAAAGAACAAGGGGAGAAGGCTCATTAATGATCTTGTTGGCTTTGTTTAGAATTGTAGGATTAGAGCTGGGCGCTGTGGCACACGCCTGTAATCCCAGGACTTGGGAGGCTGAGGCAGGAGGACCGTGAGTTCAAAGCCAGCCTCAGCAACAGCAAGGTGCTAAGCAACCCAGTGAGACCCTGTCTCTAAATAAAATACAAAATAGGGCTGGGGATATGGCTCAGTGGTTGAGTGTCCCTGAGTTCAATCCCCAGTACCCTCCACCCCCCAAAAAAAATAGAATTGTAGGATTAGGACAGTAAGACTTTATAGAATTATAGGAGCAGGAAAGTAAGAAAAGAATGAATGCTTAGGGAAACCAAGTATGGTTACTGGGCAGCACCAAGAGCATATCTGAGATTCAGAATGAGGACAGACAGGCAAGATTTTTCTGCTTGTGATTCTTAGAATAAATGTGATAAGAACTATTGTGTTCATGGCTCTGCTTCTTAAATTTGCTTTTAAAAATATTTTTGGATGATTTATATATCAGTTTTACTTCAAATCTTTTAAAAATTATTTTCATAGTTTGTAAAAAAAGTTTAAAAAAGCCTTTAATGAGTGAGAATCATGACATTTTATTTTATGGACATAAGTTTAGCTTGTTTCAATGAAATCTAAATTCTTATTCTCATTGTAATTAATGATTTCCATTTTGGGTATTTTTCAGCATACCTTATTGATAAAGTCAAAATCAAAGGCTATTACGCATTCAAACTTACTGAAGAAAAATCTAAACCTAGATTCGGATTCTTCACATCTGATTTCAGAGCTAAATCCTCCATACAATTTTACAATCACCTGATCAGCAGCAGTGGCTTCCCTTTGGAGAACAGTAGTCCTAGATGTAATCAGACTCAAGAAAAAGCAGAGTGCATTGCCTGCTCATTTCTCCTGCAGAAGAAACCACTGATATTCTTTGGTTGTTGCTTCTTCTCCACCCTGGTTCTACTATTATCAATCACTATTTTACATCAGCGAAAGAGAAATCAATTTTGGAAAGCAAAGAGCTTACAAAACATACCATTAAAGCAAGGCCACAAGAGAGTCCTTAGCTAAAGTGATCTGTATTCACATTAAAAAATTCACTCCAGTTCTATATACTGGGAACTTACAGTATTCCTGCATAGTGTAAGAAAGAAGACAATTTGAGATACAGCAGTAATCAAGGTGATGACAATCGATGTCTCTGCAGTGTGGTTTAAATGAGCTTTCCCTTAGGTGTTGACATCAACAAATTCCATTCTTGGAGCTGAAGAATAAGACTTCAATGACTGTAAACTATGAGGATTACCTGTTAAATTGCTTCAGGAAGCATTTTCCATCATTATTCTCTAGCTTCTCTAAATGTCAATATCTTCTCATGGTTAAAATAATTATTTTTAAAAAGTGAAAGTTTGTCAGACTCCATAGCAGAGATTTAAAACTATTCTTTAAACTGGATAGTTGGTGACATTCTGTCACTTCTAACAAGGTGCTTTGTCCTTTAGGTCAGGGTGGTTCTGAAATGAAAAGTAAATCTCAACAAGGTAAGCAGTGCTTGTCTATAGCCAGTTATGGCAGACTCTGAAGTGCATCAATCTGTTTTCTCAAAAAACCTGTCAAGTATTTCAAAAACATCTAAATTTGTGAGACAGGTTTTTCTCAAAAACATTATCAAGCATTTCTAAAACATCTAAATTTGTGAGCTCTCTTATTAGATTTGTGAATTTTAGAAAAATTCAACTTCCATAACTGATCTCATGGCAAGATCACAGGATAAAGATTAAAAGCTGGACCCAACTGTCTGTGAAGACAGGAAGTCACTCAACCTGACTAGTACAGAAATTTCACCTTTAAATAAATTGAGCATTTCTTCTCCCCAATTTTCATGAAGTGATAAACAAGATTTGGTAGACTTAGTAAAGCTAAAAAGATGTAAATTTTACTTATTGGTTATCAATAGAAAAGTACCATATTATTATTCCATAAGACCCGCTCTTCCCCCTAAAGAGTTTCACTGCTTTTTACATGAATATAGCAAAATACAAAGTGTGGCCCTTTCTGGACCTAGCAATGTGACTCTGGATGAGTTGAGTATTACTAGTCTAAATGAGTTAAAATTATTTTGTTTTATTTACCACTTTGTAAGGCTAGAATTAAGTAAATTCTTAAATCTGAACTGAGAGTATTTTTTTAATGAACCTGAATGTACACCAATTTATGCTTATAATTTTTTAGATTAATAAATATTCAAATAATGGCCTTTGCACACATTCACTGGCCACTCCAGGAATTTAGAGTCAAAGGAAAGTAGTTTGTTTCAAAAAGCCTTAGTAGGAAATTATCCTAAATTAAAGGTAGTTTTCATTGTATCCAGAATTCATTATCAACCCATCAACCTCTTTTAACATCAAGGTATTGAAAAAATGTGTGGTCAGAAGTCAAATGTACACAATTGGAATTCTAACTGATCATGAAGAGCAATTATATTTCAAAGATGGTGTAAAGAGAAAATTGATCATGCAAATGCTTAAGGAATAGGCAATAAATTTGCTGTGTGGCTGGTCAAATACAAATGGTAAAATCCTGCTTTTGTCTCTTCTTTCTCCCATTATACCCATTCTCTTACCCTTCTTAGTCTTAAGCATGTTTTGCAAGATTTTTTTTCCCTTTGAGAACTTACTGTACCTAATGCTATGCATAATTATAACTGGTCAATTTTCTAACATGTTGACTATGTAGAAAAGTCATTTAGAAGAATCACTTGGATGGGCTGCAGGTAAGTGATAGAGCACTTGCTTAGCAAGCTCCAAGCTTGAGGCCCTAGGTTCCATGCCTCACACCACCATCACCACCATAGCCACCACCCACTCAAACCCCCCCCCCCCCAGCTTCTCCCCTTTTATGCCACATAGGCTCACCCTGACCCAAGAGTTACAGTGAAAATCTTTGGTGTCAATTGAACAATTAATTATCAACTCATCAACCTCTTTTAACATCAAGGTGTTGAAAAAACATGTGATCAGAATAACAAACATTTTCAGGTTTTGTTTTCTAGTCTTCAAATATTTTGTGCCCTGATTCAAGTATCTTGTTATTTATGATTTCTGAGTTTAGACTTTCTTTTCCCCAGTCCTTCTTTTTGAGACAGAGTTTCACTAAATTGTCAAGGTTGGCCTTTAACTTCAGATTCTACCTCAACCTTCCTAATAGTTGAGACTACAGGCATGCATGTACACCACATCTGGCCTATTTTTTAATGTTTACATTACGTATTCTTAAAAACATGGTTTCCCTTTTCAAATTACTTTGCCATAAACTCCCCCAAATAGCCAAGTTCCTTAGCTTAAAGCTTAAGTCTTCCCTTACTGCCACTTTGGGAGTATTTAAGTCATTGTCATATGAAAAACCTTAGTTAAATATTTAATATGGGGCTTGAGACCCCAGCACCACATAAAAATAAATAAAGATATTATGACCATCTACCACTAAAAAATTTTTTAAAAAATATTTAATATGGCTCATGATCTACTAAGCTTACTAAAATAGTCAGGTTTATTAAAAAAAATCAATTTAAGTTGGGTACAGTGAGGCACACTGATAACTCAAGAGGCTGAGGCCAAAGAATTGCAAACTCAAGGTCACCCTGGGCAACTTTGATCGTCTCAAAGAGCACTTGCCTATCACACAGTAGGATGGGGTCCAAGTCCCTGTACCTCAAAAACCAAAAACACCTCACTGGGTTTATGCTTACTATATATTTAGCTAACATTCTGGTGAGTGGATTTTGACTTACTCTGCCCCAACTGGGCAAGTTACCTCTGGGAATGTGCATCCATTGGTAAAATGTAAACACCTGACCTAAAAGTTGGGTTTGACTGTCACCACACCCTAGTTTTGTGGAAATTACTCTCCAAGTTACCAGGTCATACCTAGCATCAGTTCACTCCTGGAGGAATCTATTTGCACAGCAGCAACTACCTACATATTGCTATTTCATTCCTAATGTCTCTAGCTTACTATAATACTGCCACTTTGAAATTTCTCCCTCAAAATTTCACCAATAGTTTCCACTCAGCAAACAATGATGTGCCATTTTTCCATATTCTTGAAATGAAGCAGCACAGAAGATTGCATCCCCCTAACAGTTGTGTTCTAACAGAAGAATACAATTAAAACTCAACAAGGTGAACTGTAAATGTTTATAAATGCTACAGACAGAATCAAGTGCAACAGGAGCAAGATTACTGGATGAACTAATGCAATGTTTTTAAATAGGGTGATCAAGGTAGGTTTTACTATGCCATTGAAGGGGACTGCCACACTTCAGCTATAAAGCCCTTTTTAAAAGGAAAGACCTTGCTTGATATTGAAAATCAACAAAGTAAACTGAAAGTTTTGAGGATATAGCTAAGTGGCAGAATGTTTGTCTAGCATGCTCAAAGGTGTGTTCAATCTCCAGCACTGCAAAAAATAGTAATAAAAAATATAAAAACTCAAGTGTGAAAGCAGGCAAGTTTTAAAAACTTATAGGCTTAATTCACGAGTGATGGTATACACCTGCAACCCGAGTAGCTCAGGAGGCCAAGGCAAGAGGATCACAAGTTCAAATCCAGCTTTAGCAACTTAGAGAGCCTAAACAACTTAGCAAACCCTGTTTAAAAATAAAAAGGAGTGGGGATGTGGATGTGGCTCATTGCTCAAACACCCCAGTACCAAAAAAAACAAAAACAAAAACAAAAAACCTTTGAAAAATACTTTCAAAAAGAACATCTTTCCCTGTAGCTCAGAAGGATTGCAAGTTCAAAGCCAGTCTCAGCAACAGTGATGGATGCACTGAGCAACTCAGCGAGACCCCAAAATAGGGCTGCAGATGGGGCTCAGTGGTTCAATCCTCAGTACAATTCCCACTACCAGAGGGAGTGTGAAGAACCAATAACCAATAATCCAAGTGAAAGTCAAAGGTTGTTTCATTTTCTACCATTTTCAAACACTGTAATAGTATAACAAAGCCCTTTCAGCTTCAATAGTTGTCAATTTATATTACTTCACTCAGAAACCAACATTCAATGCCTGTAACCCTACCTCAAATGTTTGACTTAACACTTCATCCTTTTCTTAAAAAACCTAACTCTATAATCAAGGTTAACACTACCTCCATGAAATCATACACCATCAGTACACTTGTTTCAAGTCTGATTAAGAGGTTCCAACTGAGTCTCTTCATTTAAATAGTTCTGATAGACTCTGAACATACCAAATAGTGAATATATGTATGTATCAGGGTTGTTTGTATGGTGTGTAAAAAGAACTCAAGGTTTGATATTAATTTTCTGAAAATTTGGGATGTTGGAATTCAACAGATCAAGAGGGGATTAAACGGATAACCATGTTGGGTTTAAGGAAGCCTGGTATGGCCAGGGATTAACACTGACCAATGCACACAAGTATAATGCACCATTAAAAAAATTAGGGGGGAAAAAAGGTGCTATAATAAATGAATGTTAAGTCTAGTAAAATATTATTACATAATACTTAAAAACTCTGACAGGGAATGAAGATATAATGTAAGTTGTGCTTTTAGAATACCAAGTGGGGGTGGACATGGTGGCTCAAGCCTGTAATTCTAGCAGCTCTGGAGGCTGAGGCAGGAGAATGGCAAGTTTAAAGACAGCCTCAGCAATCTAGAGACACCCAAAATAGAAAAATAAAAAGGGCTGGGGGTGTGACTCAGTGGTTAAGAACTATGGTATGTAAAAATAAAGGTCTTGGACACACTAGTAGACGGCTAATAGACAGGTGTAGTGGCTCATGCCTATCTCAACAACTGAGGCAAGGTTGCAAATTTAAGGCCAGCTTTAATAACTTTGAGACCTGTCTCAAAACAAAACAAAAAAAATCAAAATACATACACTACTGGCTTGAGGCAGAGGACAAGATTATTGAAATCTTACAGCACAACAGTAATATGGTCAGCAATATTTCACAAATTAACTGCACATCTCCATCCTGAGTATATTGTTTCATTTCTCAGAACTTTTTCACAAGTGACTAGAGTGCACCTACCTCACCAAATATTCAAATTCATGCCTCAAAAATATTAAAACCCCTTCAGATCTTCCCCA